AAATTAAATACAATATCATAATAGTTTTATTTTATTTCCAACAGCAAAGACAAAATGTGTAACCTGTAAAACTCACCTAAGATGATTGTAGGGATGTCTAAAAAAAAAAAAAAAAATTCTCAAGGACGTTCATTCACTTTTTTTGGAGAACATAGGTATAGCTTGAAACATTTCAGAAATTTCTCTAAAATCTTGCAGAGAGAAAAAAAATTGTAAAATTCCTGATAATATCAAGCCTGTGACAAAGTCAGTAACTTGATACCTTAAAACATTTTTTTTAAAGCACCGATTTTTTTTTTTTTTTGGTCTTGAGATACACGTATACACGACATTTTGACCTAGTCTAAAAACCTAGGTATTTAATTTTCAGTTTTAAAAAATGATCAAATAAGTAAAACTGACACCCTGAAGCCTTTCATGGATTTTCCTTTATCCCTGACCCCATCCCATCCCATTGTCCATTTCTGAATCCCACCTGCACAGATGCAGGTCAGGACTGGGTAGAGCTGAGGGGTATCTAATGCCCAGACCACTTAGTAACGACACTGTGTGTTCACATTTTCATATACCTCAGACATGCTGCATCATCACACTATTCTTCATTTCAGCATGATGCTACCAACTTGGACTATGAGCCCAACTCCGAGACTCTAACACTTCCAAAGACCTCTAACAGTCTGTATAAGTTAAGATTCTCTGGAGAAATAGAATCAATAGGATGTATATATGCAGTTGTGTCAAATAATGACAATTTAGTCAATAACAAGCCGCATATATAATGGTGGTCCCATAAGATTATAATCCTGTATTTTTACTGCACTTTATGTTTAGAAACACAGATACTTTTTTTTCTTTACATTTATCAACAGTATTCAGTACAGGAACATGCTATACAGGTTTTTGTCTATGAGTTTTAGGTTATAGCACGTGGCCTAGGTGTGTGGTAGACTAGATCCCCTAGATTTGTGTAAGTTCACTCTGTGATATTTGCACAATAGTGAAATTGCCTAGACACATTTCTCAGAATGTATTCCTGTTGTGAAGCAATGCATAACTGTATATAGAAAGAGGATTATTTTAGGGAATTGGTTCATCTGATAACGGAAGCTGGTCGATCCAAAAATCTGCAGGATGGGTTAGCAGGCTGAAGACCCAGGGAGAGCTTAGACTGCAATTCAAGTCCAAAGACTACTGACTAAATTCTCTGTTACTCAGGGAAGGTCAGTCTTTTGTTCATCCAGCCCTTCAACTGATTTGATGAGGCCCCCCACATTATGGAAGAGCAATCTGGTTTACTCAAAGTCCAAATGTAAATGTGAAACTCATTCAAAAACCATTCTCACAGCAATATCTAGCATAATGTTTGAGCAAATAACTGGGCATTGTGGCCCAGCCAAGTTGACCCATAAAATTAACCATCACACAGCCTAACCAGGAGTGACTATGCCCATGAAAAGCAAAGCCCAAGCACTTTCCTCTAAATGAGGCCTTAGGCTCTTATGCCAAGCCTACTGGCTCAAATCTATAAACCGACCTATCTCATAGTCATAACAACGTTTGTCATCTGACTTCACAAACCTGGGTAGATGAGAAACAAGAGAAGGAGGCAGACAGTGAGGATTTGCTGGAGGCAGACTCCAGAAATAGTGAGGAGTGACTGCTCACAGATTGGGAGCAAGGAGGAGACAGAAGATCCATAGAAAGTAGACAGAAGTACTATACAAGCTCAGCAGCCTGGGGCCTTTGAGTGGTAGAACAAATTGTTCTGCCTGTTTCAAGGAGTGAGGCTATTATACAGCCCAGTACAGCAACTGATGCTCTTAATAATATACCTGGGTCTCTACATAACAGCACATTTGGATTGGGTTTTTTTTAAACATGCATAGCTGATACAGGCAATAGGATGAAAAAAAGGGCAGATTTTTTTTTTAAGGAGGGGAGGGGACATGATTGTCACTGGCTGATATGTCACCCCAGCCCCCCTCCCCATGCTTACTCCTGTGTAAGGAATGTAATGGATTGTCTATTGGTTCTTTTAAAACATTGGTCGTTCCACCTTCTCAGGGCAATGACATTCAGATCTCATTTTAAGAGAGCTATGCTTCCCATTCTTAGGCATGAAACTTGGGTGAGATTGATACCACTACTTCTCCTGGCTGAAGTTGTTTTAAACACGCCACCTACCCTTCTGACCTTGTTTCTGAGGCAAGCACCTATCTAAACTTGTGTTGAAGTGATGCAAGGGGATGTTTGCTGGGGCTTCTGAGAAAAAAACAAAACAAAATAAAAACACTTCCTTCTCCATTCCTGTGGGTGATGTTCCATAAGAATGTGGTCTAGAACTACCGCAGACTTCCTCCTCCTATGAAAAAGAGCCTGGTGCTTCCAAGTGACAGGAAGGAGTCTGTTCTGTAGCAAGTGAAAATAAAGCCGAAATTACAAAAGTCAGAGAGAATAAATGGAGAAAAGCAGACTTCTTACGCCATGTGGGCAGCTGGGCCAAAACTCACCTGAAGCTGCTATAGGGTTTTAATGTATACATGCCAATGGATTCTTTTCTCTGATTTAGCCATTTTGAACTTTTTTTTTTGCAATGAAATGATGTCTGATTGATATAAGAGGTGATGGCTGAACAGACTCTTGAAAGACGGATGGAATTTTGACTAGAAATTCTATCAAATTCAAAACAAATTAATTAAAAGGTATTCCAATAACAATGACAATACAGTACTAACAATATCAACCACAGCAAAGTGTATCAAGTGCTTAGTATGTCCCAGAAACTCTACCTAGCACTTCATTTAATCCTAAAAAAAAAACAACCAAAGACAACACCAACAAAAACAAATGACATAAGGCCAGTGCTATGACTATCTCATTTTAGATGAAGAAGCTGAGGGCCGGGGGTGGATAGAACAGTTCTGCTTAGTGCCCAGGAATGAATATGCTTTTCTCATGCTGCCCGTCTGTCTCCTCTAAGGCTCTAGGCAGACACATGGAAAGAAGAGTGTATGAGCTGGAAGAGCATTATCAGAGGAGAGTGGAACCACTGACCTGTGTAGTGAAGAGGGAAGAATGAGACTGGCATGAGGCTAAGAGCTTGCTGGAATTCAGCAGTGACATGACTTAGTTGCAGCTCACAACTATGCACTGGGGCAGTTTTGAGGTTGCTCCAGATCTGCCAATAAAGTTGTCCACAACTGTTGCCCAGGTTCAAAATGGAGTTATCTTGCCAAGATATTCATACTCAAGTTATTTATTCATCCGACAGGCATTTGAGTATCCATGCCTCAGACATCTTGCTTGGTGAGCAAGATAGTCAAGGCAACTGCCCTTACAGACCTTATGGTTAAGTTGGGAAAGACAACATTAAACAAAAAGTTACACTTGTAAGGGTAAATTATCAACTGTGCAAAGTACAATGAAGGACAAGAACAGGCTGCTGTAGCAAAGAACCAAGGAGACCTAGTTTAGATTGGAAGGGTGGATGTAAGTGTGCTGGGTAAGTCCTTTCCACAGAAATACAACTTAGGCTCAGGCCTTGATGTTCTAATGGGCTTTTAGCTCAGCAGAGGCAGAAGCTTTCTAAGCTGAAGAAACTGCATATGCAAAGGGAGACATGGGTTTGCGTGCTTAATAAGCTGAGAGACCAGTACAGCTGCAAAGGTAGTGGGAGAGAAGTGGGGGGAGTAGGAGGGGGTGGGGGGTAGGAATGAACCATGTAGGGCTTTGAGGCCACAATTAGGACGTTTGATTCTGTCAATTATTTCCTCCATGCACATTTCCAGAGATTCCTCCTCTGGAATAGGCCATATGTGGGGAACAAGGATATAGTGATCAATAATAATAGCAATGGCTAACATTCATTGCTATTAGAGCTACCATTCTGGCCGGCTTGGTGGCTCAGCCTGTAATCCCAGCATTTTGGGAGGCCGAGGAGAGTGAATTGCCTGTGCTCGCGGGTTCGAGACCACGGGCAACTTGGCGAGACATCGTCTCTACAATAAATAAAAAATTAGCCAGGTGCGGTAGCATGTGCCTGTAGTTCTGGCTACTTGTAAGGCTGAGACGGAAGGATCACTGGAGCCCAGCAGGTCAACGCTGGGGTGGCCGTGAGCGTGCCACTGCACTCCAGTCTTCTAAGCACGTTGACACATATACTTATTTAAGCCTTTCGGCAACCCTGTAACCTAGATGCTACCATTGTTCCCATTTGACAGATAGGAAACTACCTAATTTTCAAGATCATACAAGCGGTAAATGGTAGAAGCAGGATGAACCCAAGCACTGTGATTCCGGAGCCCATAGGCATTTATGTTCTTAATCACTATGATTCATGTGTGACTCTTCAAGTTTAAACAACAGTAGTCTTAGACATATTAGCTGCCCAAACAGTGCTTCAAACGTAGGCAGCTAGTTTAGAAAAGAAATCCCCAAATGTGACAGACCATAAGATCTCCCCTGGGATTCTTGTAAAAACAGATCATTTTCTTAGAGATTTGGATTCAATGGGTCCTCCCTGGAATTTGTATTTTTCACAAATTTGGATCACAGTGGACAGCTTGGAGGACTGTTCTGAAACAGGGCCCAAGGCCCAGCACTTTTAACCTTACGACACAGCTGTCAGATAAAAAATCAGGACGTCCAGTAAATCTGGAATTTCAGATAACGGAAAAAAGTAATTGTATAAGTACCTCCCAAATATTGCACGGGACAAAATTATACTAAATGATTCTTTTTAAAATATTTAATTCCCATTTAAATGGAGGGGGGAGGGTCTTGGATTTTTATTTGTTAAATCTAGCAACTCTACCTTTAGGGAAGGACTGATCCCAAAGTCTGAGTCCCTCTACCCACGTTGGCCCGGGACACAGGACTCTCCTTGTCAGATCCCCAGGTCGATCCTGGAGGGGTGGCTCGCGCCTCCGCCCTGCCCAGGCAGCACTAGAGGCGCTCCGAGCGGCCGAGCCCCGCCCCGTCCCGCCCTGTCCGGTCCGGCGCAGAGGGCCTCGCCCGAAGCGGGGCTGGTCCTGCCATTGGGCTGTGTGGAGTCGCGCCGCTTCCACCCACGCAGAGTGCTGAGGCTAGGCCACAAACTCGCTCGCCATGTCCGCTGCGGAGGCGAGTGGTGTTTTCCACCGAGCCCGGGGTAGGACCCTGGACGCGTTTCCCGCAGGTACTGCCGCCGGCCCTTCGCTCGGGGAGGGGATTCCAGGGCTTCGGAACCTTCTGCCTTCGGTCCAAGTGCGCGTGCCTCCAGCTGTACTCCATCCGGCACTGCGGGCCGCCATAGCTGTATCTGCGGCGGCACGCGACTGAGAGGCGACTCCAGTCCAGATGCCTCGCTGGCCTTGACCTAATTTCCTTCCAAGAAACGAAGGGGAAAGTAGTAAAGCAGTTGATGATGGGCTTGTGCTATGCAACGTGACCTAGTTTCCAAGCCTTGCCTTGGCAGCATGCCTTAGCGTCCACATCTGTAAAACGGGAATGCCAGTGAGATTATGCATAAATTATGCTTGTTAGAGGCCCTTATTTCTATTAAGATTGTTCGTCGTCGTGTATTTTATACTCCACAATTATTTACTGTGATATTAGCCAGTCACTGAAATGTTAACAATTCCCATCAGAGCAGAGAAGAGGAAGGGCAGTCTAGAGTCACGGTACAGTTAAGTGCTTGGGTTCTGGACTTAGATAATCTGCCTCGCTATAAAAGTGGGTTTGATGATAACTGCCTCGTAGGGTTGTTGGAAGCGTTAACAGATCAAAAGTGTTTCAGCAACCCAGCGCTGGATGCATTCTAGATGCTAAGTGAGTGTGAGTCCTTGTGCATGTGCATAAAGAGGGAGGTTTGTTTCTGATTCTTTGGTTTCCCTTTGTGGCTTTTTGCTGCCTGGAGTCCTGTTCCCTCCCAGGGATTCATCAGCTTTATAACCCCAGGGAAGTCGCCCCAAATGCCCTGCATGATCAGGCCTGTGTATGTCCACCTTTCTTTCGTTGTCGTCTTCTTTTTTTTTTAGACAGGGTCTCAATCTGTCACTCAGGCTGCACTGCACTAGCGCAGTCATAAGTCACTGTAGCCTCAAACTTCTCCTGGGCTCAAACGGTCCCCCACCTCAGCCTCCCCAGTAGCTGGGATTGCAGGCGTGCACCGCCATGCTTGACTATGTTGTCCAGGCTGGTGTGTCCACCTTTCTTATTCAGGTTTGCCACTCTCTTCCTGACTCGATTCTCCTGCCAGGCTAGTTTTTTTGAACTGCATTAAGAAGGGCAGTTCTTTTCTTTCTTTCCTGAGGGTGTTGGCACCTGCAGTTGTCTGCTCCCAAAGTAGGTCTAGTGATAGTAGCTTCTTCTCAGCCTTAATACCTTTAAAACTTACAAATTTTTGAGTCAGGGTCTCGTCATTCAGGCTAAGTTCAATGGCACAATCACAGTTCACTACAGCTCGAACTCCTGGCTAAATGGATCCATCCTCCCTCAAGTTGCTGGGACTACAGGCTCATGCCACCATACCCGGCTACTTTTTGGATTTTTTTGTAGACGTGAAGTCTCACTTTGTTGCTCAAGCTGGTCTCGAACTTCTGGGCTCAAGTGATCCTCCTATCTTGGCCTTCCAAAGTGCTGGAATTACAGATGTGAGCCACCAGTGCCCAGCTTTCACACCTTATTTTAAAGTTCATTAAATTATTCAGAGATACTTTCCCTGACTACCCTATCTAAAGTAGATTTCACCTGTAATTCTGTGCTAGAATTTTCCTTCTTTGTAACTCTTGATGGGGTAGCGACAAGGTTCTAGAAGAGCTTGTGGGCCAGATATGTATCTGGTGGATTTGGGGAAATACAACCTGCTGTAGTGCCAGTCTCTACATTCAGCCTTCCTCATCCGTGAGTTCCATGTCCACAGATTCTGCATCTGCAAATTCAACCAACTGCAGATCAAAACTATTTGGAAAAGAAACTAATGCCATGCTTCCTGGCTTTGGCCCCCTCCCCCATGTTGGGGAGGTGAATCTTCTCTCTCTCTTCTCTTTCTCTAATTTACTTTTAAATAAACTTTTCTTTCTTAAAAAAAAAATACAGCAATAGCAAATAATATGAATTTAAAAAACAATACAGTGTAACTAACATTTATATTGTATTAGGTATTATATGTAATCTAGAGATGATTTAAAGTATATGGGGATTTTTATACATAGGTTATATGCAAATACTACATTTTATGTAAGGGACTTGAACATCCATGGATTTTGGTATCCCTGAAGGTCCTGGGACCAATCTTCCAAGAATACTGAAGGATGACTGTATTTTAATACTACTTGTCTTTTTTTGTCCAACATGAAATTACATATATATATATAATATATATTTTAAATATCGAGATGAGTTCCCGCTGTGTTGCCCAGGCTGATCTCAAACACTTGGACTCAGACATTCCACCCATCTGCCTTTCAGAGTGCTGGGATTACAAGTGTGGAACACCGCACCAGGCCCCAACATCAAGATTTTGAGATTTATTCGTATTGATAGAAGTATCTCTACTTCACTCATTTTCCTGTATACGTTATACATTCTGTGGTTGCATATGCCAAGTGTCTTCCCTTTGCCTCCCCAAATCTCTCCACACCAAGCTCCAGGGAGTAGACCTCTGTGGTCTACATCAATGGGCTCCTTGCACTCTGGGGTTCAGGCTTTGTGTTTCCCTTTGAGTTCAGCCAATGAGGAACTCTTACCAGAGATTAGAGGGAGGGTGAAGCAAAAATCAGTGTGTTTATTCCCACAGTTTACTCCTTGTGGAATTGCCATGGGCTAACTGTATTCCTCCCTTGAAAGTCACTGCTTCTCAAGACATCTCTTCTACTCAGACTCTCTCTTTCCAGATTTGAGTAACCACTTCCTCCATTCCTCCTTTGAGGTGTGGGTGAAACAGCTCTGTTTTTCTATCTTTGGGCTACTAAACTCTCCCTGGTAGTTTTCCTACACCCTACCCATCCGGAGTACTCTCTTTTTAAATCTTCCTTTAATTATTCTAATTTGAAACTGCCGGCTATTTCCTGCTAGGATCATGATGGGTAAAATGGCCATTTAGTCGTTTCTGGTTTTCACTCTTGTTAACAGTGCTGTTATGAACATTCTGTACAAATCTCTCTGTGGACACAGGGGAGAGTTTCTCCAGGGCATATACCAGGAGCTAAATTCTGGGTTGTAGGGTATAATCATCTCTAGTTTTACTAGAGTTGGTCAAATTGCCTTCCTAAGTGGTTGTGCCAATTTATACTCCCACCAGCAGTGTATGAGAGTTCCATGTTACCCTGCTGTATTTTTTTTTCAGTTTGAGATACATATTTTTTCTTATTGCATTCTCCAGTATCTTGTGGGGGAGGGGGTCAGGTTATTTACCCTCAGAGACTTATAATCTAGGCACAAAGCTATGGCACAAAAAATAATTCTTGTCAAATTGTGGGCTCTGAATGAAATGGCAGAGGGAGGAGTCAGGATTTTACATTTGATCCAGGGTGACAATGAAGCTGTTAACTGAAATCAAGGCGTAAGGAGTATGATCAGGTTTGATAAGGTGTATTTATGGTGTCATCAGGGATTCTGAGGCAACTTGTGGGGTACAGTGTATAGCTGGGGCTGGAGGTATGGGTGCCATCCTCAGGGGAGTAGACAGTGTTGCTGTAGGAGTCAGAGGCATTATTAAGGGGAAACATGGCATAACCGGCTGTGTGTGTGTCTAACCTTAGGATATGCTGGTGTTTGGGGGTAAGAAGAGGATACAAGGAGGGGCTCAGAGCGGGAAACAACAAATTCTAGAATATAAAACCAGGAGCTGGCCTTGACACCAAAGCTGGGGAGAAGGACATAGGCAGGGTGGTACGTAGGATCAGCTGTTATAGATGTTACAGGTGTAGATTAATGTAAGCTGAGTAGAGGATGGCCGGGTTGACTGTGGGTGGACCTTTAGGAGGACAATTTCAATAGAGTTGTAGGGGAAAGTCTGGTGCACAGTGTTTTCGGAATGGTTGGGGATGAGGATATGAAATCGGCAAGGGTAGGGTTCTGTTTGGAGTCATCTGGTGATGCAAGGATATAGGAGAGTAGACATAGGATCGTAGCTGCTTAAGTGTGGAGCAGTGCTGAAGGAAGACTTTTTTGGAAAAGGGGAGACCCCAACTGAAGGGTTTGAAATAGTAATAATGGTGATAAGAACTGGAGTATCTGAGATGTATCTGGTGTTTATGAAGAGCCAGGCACTGCTCTGTGGTCTATATGGATTATCTCAGGTCATCTTCAAAATAGACCTGTTGAGGTAGGTAACATGGTTACCCTGTTTTTACAGTGGAAGAAAATCAAGCTTAGAAAGGTTAGGCAGTTTGCCCAGGTTCACATGATTGGTCTGAGATGGATCTGGCTTTGAAAATGCAGTTGAAGCCGGGCTCGGTGGCTTAGCCTATAATCCCACGCTTTGGGAGGCTGAGGTGAGTGGATTGCCTGAGCTCGCGGGCTCGAGACCCGCCTGGGCAACTTGGCAAGACCTCTTCTCTACAATAAATTAAAAAATTAGCCGGGCATGGTAGTGCGCGCATGTAGTTCCAGCTACTTGGAAGGCTGAGGCGGAAGGATCATCAGAACCCAGCAGGTCGAGGCTGCGGTGGCCGGGAGCGGCCACTGCACTCTAGTCTGGGTGACAGAGTGAGACTCCAACTCAAAAAAAAAAAACAAAAACAAAAACGAAAATATACAGTTGGTAGAGAATAATACTCAAGGAGGTGGGGGAAGGGGTGGGCTTAGGAGAGGAGCTGGCCCTGGGAGCAAATGTGCTCTTCAACTATCTGTCCATCCATCCAGTTGTTTGTCCTTCCATCTGTTTGCCAGACCATCTGTCCATCAGTCTGCCTGTCTTGTGTCCATTTATATCTTCATTTGTCTGTTCATCCATCTACCTGTAGTTCATTCATCTATTTGTCAACTGTGCTGAAGTCCCACAAACCAGTGTAAAATGCCATTGTGGCAAATGCCATTTAGGTGCTGTGAGAGCCTCTTATTGGAACAATTGACCTAATAAGGACATTTAGGGAATTTAGGAAGGGCCTCCTCAAGGAAGTGGTGCATCTTCTGAATGCTACAGGATGGGTAGGAGTTAACTGGGCCATGAAGGGAGGGAAGACCGTTGTGAAC